TATTTTCCTTTACAAATTGTTTTACTTCGGACTTTTGTACTACTTCATTACTACACAAAATGTTTACTTTGCATTTGTGTGTGCGTGTGTGTGTGTGTGTGTGTGGGGGGGGGGGGTTGTTCTGATAGTTGGGCACCAGGGTGGTCGACTGGTTAGCACGTCTGCCTCACAATGCAGAGGGTGTGGGTTCGAATCCATTCCCAGCCTCCGTGTGTGGAGTTTGAATGCTTCCTCCGTGCCGATGCGGGTTTTCTGCGGGTACTCCAGTTTCCTCCCACATTCCAAAAACATCCATTGTAGTGTTTATCTATATATAGATAGATTTTTTTTTTTTAATAAAAAGAAAAACGTGTGGAAGAAAAAGGCTTAGTTGTTACACAAACACTAAAAGGAGGGCCAGAAATTGAAGACACCAACGCCTATGGTGCTAGCATGCCACATGGCACACATGGTGACCCATTTAGTTCCAACCCCAAATTGTAAATTATAAATATGTTCATATAAATTATTGTGATTATTGATCATCAAGCAGTGAGAATGATTCCATATGATGCGAGTAATTTATTTCGAGCTTTTTGGGGTGGGGGGGGGGGGCTTCCATTAAACCGCATTGTAAAACATTATCTGCCAGGCTCAAGATTCTGCATGTGACCTCAAGGTCTCACAGTAGAATGCTGGAATCTCCATATTGATGATGGTGTGCCAATAAAGAATGCGTCATGTTACCAAATGCCCTTTCTCAGTCAAACAAGGGAACAAAGCTTGATATTGTTTCTCTAGATAAGAGTGACTTGGCTTTAAAACAAAACCAAAAAAAAAACAAATCAAAAGAAGAAGTTCAGTAAGGACAATGATGAAATATTTTAGTGGACTCTTGGAACGTTCTGTCTTATTTATTTATTTGAAAATGAACAACTCGGGATTCTGTTAAGTTTGGACTACAAAAACAACAACAATTTTAAGTTTAATGACATTTCCATGAATAAAAAGGCAAAGGACAAACTGTCAGCCCTGAAGTGTTCTTGCCTAAAATGGCCACTTCAAACCAACATGGCAGACGTTCTGTGGCTTTTCAGGCATGGGTTTTTGAGACTTTTACGTTGTTGTTGATCTGTCTGAACATGAAATCTCATGTTGCTAGGTGACAATGACTGTGGGGGCTGAATTTTCAGAAAATTCTCATGGGGATGCTACCAAGCCAATGACATCTCTCATCTTTGAGAGGTGGAAGAAAATACGAATATGTCCATTTGAAACCAAAATCAGAGATTTCCTCTGCCTTTTTTGTCATGACTTTTGGAGAATTTTTTGTGGGTCTACACATGATGGACAGGCGAACATTTTATGTTGGGGACAGAAAATAAAAAAAGCCAGAGGGACACGACAGTACAGAGCCAAGATTTCATGCCATGTCAGCAACCCTTGCCGTACGAAAATGTTCACCATGCTGAACACATGCAAAATTTGGTGAGTTTTTGAGTGTCGCAAAGTCCTTCATAGGGTCTAAGAAAAACAACAAGGCCGAACTACATAACTTCAAGAGGGCCTTTGCATTTCTGCCAACGGAAATGTGGGTCCTTTTCCTGAGACTTGTGATAAGAAAATGCTGTTGGACCACAATGACAACAATGAACATGTCTTTTTCGATCTTTCTCCACTGCGCAACTGGCTACCAGCTTCCCTTGTAATCCTCAAAGAGAACATCCTGGCAGCAGAAAAACGGAGGAGAAGGTCCTTTGCGCTCTGTGTTAAACACCCATTTTCTCTTTCTGACAACCGGCATTAATAGCAGATCCGACGCGCCCACGCACTCCACATTTGCGATGGAAAGAGAACGCTGAAGGGCCGAGATTAAAGTGGGGACGGAGAGTGCAGTGAGAGGATGCTGCAGCTGCCCCGTTCCTCGCACATCCTGTATCTCCCTTTCAATTAGGAACTCGGGTAAAGATGCTGACAAGTACTAAATACACATTACTAGAGACTTCATAAACTCCCCCCAAAAAAAGATGAATATTTGCGTTACAGACAAAGGCGGAAAACCTCGCGGGGGGGGGGGGGCACTGAGGTTAGACCAACAGCCCATGTACAAGGCAGACACTAACGACGGGTCTCTCAGACGTACTAGAGCAGCCCATAAATTGTTCAAACGATACTTGTCTGCATATTACGCATAAAAGCTCACATGATGAGAATCATGAGCAACATTACCACCGAGGCCCGGGGGCAGCGCGCGTGGCTTAATGACTGCAGATTGGAGGCCGTTTTACTGCTTCGCCATCAAAACTGAGCAGCAAACAGCCGGTCGTGAATGCGCTGTGACGGCCAACATGACCAAAAGAACAAATACCAGACGACTCCGATAACGCCGCTCACCAAAGCACTACTTATCTCTAAATGAAACTCCTCAACATACATAAATCTACCACCAGGTGGCGCACATGAGCACAGACAGTAAATCCGTGAGTTATCAGTGACTAAGGGGATTCCGCAATGTGTGAGAGATTCACTGTATCGTTAATTTTTTTCCCCCCATGTAAAGTGCTTACACTGACCGAACACATGTAACCCAGATGTGCATTTGAATAACTCGACAAGGCTCCAGACGATAGCTGCACTGCATCGTTTTGCACGTTGATCTTTTTTTCTTCAATTAGTACATTTCATGATGATGAGATGATTTCATATTTGTTGTTACTCAAACATTTCTTCTCCCCAGTTCGAGCCTTTCAACATCAACACCGTGAAAATGACTAACAACAGCGTGCACCCCTAAAATTTCTGAGTGCACCTCTAAAATTTCAGGTTCAGGGCCACCGTGCTCCACGTAAAAATAAATAAGTCAGTCTGGAGCCCTTTGGAAAGGTTACATATCATTGAGTTGACCTGGGATGACTCTTAACTGAGAGTAACCTCTGCCTTACTCCACAGATCACTGTCAGCAAGTGTTTTGCTTATTCGCTGTTGATGGACGCCACTCTCTAGTAGCGTATTTAGACCACATTGAATTGTCTATTACCAAAGGCTGTATTTCGTTGACATCAAGCTAGTAATAATGGATATCCAAGCTGTCCATTCACGCTCCACACGCATTTTCAGATACCCAGTACATATGTGTATGTATCCACATTTGGAAGACGCAGTCCGGATTCCGATCTGAAGTTATCCAATTTCTTGTGCCACTTAACGGCAAAACAAAACTGAATTGTGCACACAATGTAGTTGAAATACAACCAAAAAGGGCTGGATTCAAGAAGCCGACTTGTTTATTTTTGCATTGGTTGGCGTCCTGTGTTTTCCTGATTTAACTCCGTAACTTCCTTTCTCCATTCCTTCCTGCTTTTTTGGAGGCGTGATCATATTCGACTCAACTCAATACCACGCATTACGGCCATCGTCATCGAGAACACCAACAAAAGCACAGGGAGAACAACTCCACCCAGGAAGACTTGAGCTGACATTGGAATTCAGAACCTCTTGACTGTGAAGCATATGAGCTCTAACCCCGAGCCGCCACTCTGCTCATACTGTCACAAATTCAAGATATACCTCATTTGTGACTGTGAACATATGTTCCCTGGAAAACAAAGCTTACAAAGCTACAAAGAAAAACTGCCTGTACGGTCAATAACAGGATCAGATGACTTCAATTTTTCCATAACCTCCATTAATGGTTTGAAATCAAAACAAATGCTCCAAGCAAACAAATCCCCAAAAATCCATTCTTTGTTAAATACTGTACTTCATATCACTTCTTACAAATTCACACTCAAGTCCAAGTTCCATTTCAAAGCAGCCGGAGAGTCCTCACTTTTCAAAGTAAATTAATAATAGCTTCAAGCTGACAGCATTTTCCTTCAAAGTGCTTGCAGCTCTTAGCGTGACTAAACAACAACCAAACCAACAAGACCAGGAGCGCAAACCACCAACTGCAATGTCAACTTGCACGCAAAAAGCAGGTGTTGCCATGTTGATTGGCACCGTTAAATATCACACGTGCCATGCAAAAAGCTGCCAAAGTGGACTAAATGTCAATGAAAAATACTGAATGCTGTCAGGTGTTTTCATGACTACGCAACAAAAACAACAGCAGTGATACTCTGCAAAAAGCAGGTGCTGCCATGGTTGAGATGCGTCTTATCAAAAAGTGGGCACATTTCGGAAAAATGGCCCCATCTCTGTGTATCAGATCAAGAAATGGGAACTGTCAATTTTTCTGTGGTCATGATGGACACACCAACTGGTTTAGTAGCAAACTAACAGAAAAATCAAAGTGGGCTACAAAGTTGGAAGTAAATGACTAGTTTTGCTTTAGGAAAGAGATGAGAACTTCGACCATTGTTTTTGTTTTTTGTCTACAAAGAAACAAAAACAAAATCAGTGCAAATCGTCTGTGCCGTCAATAGACATAAGATAGGTGATCCGCACTGTTCATACACATACAGTCGGAAAAGCTGTTGGGTTGGGGGGGTCATCTCGTTGAACGTAAAAGACTAGTTTGACTAGTTTAAAAGGGATAGTGGTGAATACTGTCAAGGGTTCCTCTTGTCTAAACAACACGAGTGCAAAACACCAACTGTGCATGAAACAAACAGGTGCTGCCATGGTCACAGACAGGGTGAATGAGACATTAATCATCAAAGAGCGGACAAACTTTAGCCAAACTGACCAAAATGTTGACTTTAATCATTTTGGGAGGGGAGAACTGTCAAATTTTCACTCGTCATAACCCACATAATTTTAGGAGCAAACGACTGGTCGAATCGTGACGTCTTGCTACCGCGCAAGTGATCCGCTATCAGCAGCGTTTCGTCAAATAGTCGTTTGAAACTGGTGGTCCCAAAAAAGAGTTACTTTTTTTTTTAAACGTGTTCCAATCTGGGCGATCCACTGTACTGTACTGTACTGTACGCCTCCCTCTGGCGCTTTCCTGGCGTTACTAACTCGCCCTCGTCAGTCACGGCCGCCTTCCACAACAAATGTTTCTATTTGCGTTCACTCACCTTTTTCGTCCCGGGTCGTGTTGTTGGAGACACTCTACCGGCGGCTCCGCTGGACAAAACGTAATTTCGGTTCACATTGAACACGCTGAGCTGCTATTTTCGGGGTGTGTTGAGAGGAAGGAGGGGGGAATCTAAGCTGACAAACTCAGAAAAAGCCAGTCTGCCTCTTGACAGCTAGGCTCTGCCCCCTTATAAGACGTCATCACTTCTTACCGACGCCCACTCAACGCACTCGCTCGTCCGCGCACGCGCACAACAAGGAATGAGCGTGTGTTTTTATGACAAAAGTTGGCAGCGAATTTTAAACCAACAGTCTTGGAACACAGTTAAGTAGAGGGTGCAGGAGTGGGAAAAATGAACAGGTGGACCAAAAATACTTTTTTTTTTTTAATGTCACGTCACTCAGACAACAGCGGTGACTTGTGATCGGCGTGCGCGGTGTCCAATCGTGGCACGCAGCGCCTCATGGGAACGGCCAATCGAAGCAAAAGGTAGGCGGGAACATGTCACGTGTAAAGGGCCAAAGGGTAGGCGTGGCAGTGCCTTTGGAACATGACAGCAGTTTGTTGGTCTTCTTCTTCTTTTTTTTTTTTATGGAGGAGAGCAGGTGCTGTGAGCTTATACGTGACCACACACCTCAGACATTAAAGTGACGAATGTAACCCGATCTGTACTTTTACTGAATTATTTTTTCTTCTAATTATTGAGCAAAAGAAAAAACTGGTTGTGTATTGTGGGGGAGGGCCATTACTAATACAAAATATTTCTGTTATAAAATATGTTTTGTATTTTTCTAGAAATAAATCCTCATATTGAATGAAAATCATAACGTACAATATAAAGAGTGGGCCAAAAGTAAGTATACACTTTTCAAATTAACTTACTTTAGTAAGAAAGGAGATAAGGGTGTCATTCCAGAATTGGACAAAGTAATATCTGTTTACGGTATTTATTTTTCTCATGTTGTATGACTGTTACTTCCTAAATATGGACAATGGAGCTAGACTTTTAACCCTTGCGACTAACAACGTAACTTAAAAAAAACTAATTACATAGAGCTTGAGAAGACTAATAAAAGAGGGAAACAGAAAACATTATTTTCAAAGTTATGAAAAAAGTCTTCCATAATTGACATTTTTCCTTATCTACGTCAGTAGATTTAGCAGTCTGCACTTTTATTTACAAATACTTTCAAGTACATGCATTGAATCACTTCTTCAACTTTGATGACAATCTTAGTGTATACCACAGGTGTCAAACTCAAAGCCCGGGGGCCAGATCTGGCCCGTCACATCATTTTATGTGGCCCGCAAAAGCAAATCATAGATGTCAACTTCAATGATGCTTGTCAAAATATGGACCAAAATTTCAAATTCTCATATGGAATAAATAAGAGCTATATTGTCAGCATTTTGTTTTTTGGTGCCAAACCCCCCATGACAGTAACTTAAACAATAGTTGAATAATCCGTTATTATTGACTTTCTTCAATGGTTTCAGTCATAATGACCCTCCAAGGGAAATGGTCACTAAAATGTGGCCCGCGACGAAAATGGGTTTGACACCCCCTGGTGTATACCAATGACATGTATGTATGTGAGTACTTTTGCCACCTCTGGTCACTACAGATGTCATACGATAACACAATGTAGCAGTAATGTGATTCGCATGAGCCCCTCCCGAATTGTTCAGCATCACATTGTTAAGACTCATCTTAACATCATGAGACTGAATCACAGCGGTCATGGGACATGTTAGACACATTCTTGATTAATTCAAGTGGTATTTCTACATGCGATACCAACATAAAGTCACTCAAACGTGAACGTATTTATCAGGACGCCTGAGTAAACACAATCGTTATTAACTTGGCAAAGTCTAAAGAGTTTAATCAAGAGTGCAGTACACCTTAAAGCATGAGAGTTTAGATCGATTATTGTTGAGTTTGGAAAAAAAAAACGGTCTGCTTCACGCATGGAGTGAGCGGCTGGTATCAAATAACACGAGGGGAGAGTCAGGGTGAAAAGAGTTGGAAACAAGCAGCGTACAAGCGTTTCAGACTAACTGGCCGTGTCTGCATTGTTCTGCTCTTGGCTTTTGGCCACGCGGCCGTCCAGGTTAAATGAGAGTGTGCTTTATGGCCAGCACGGGGCGAGGCAGGCTAGCACTTCCTGCAGTTTTTCTTCATCCTCTTTTGCTTTGCTGTGCAAACTCAAGCTGTACAAGGACAATATTATGGCAAGCAGAAATTCCATGTGTCAGGCAATGGGAGAAGAGCACATACACAGTATTAGGTTGCTTGTGTCAATTAAAATGCTCCAAAAATTACACTGGGCTTCGCTTTGGAAGTGTCTTATCGACTTTGAAAATCAAAATCACATTTCTGTGCTGCCATTATTGACGTAGCAATGGTACACCGCAGCATTGAGTATGTTTTTGTAGATGAAAGACAATCATTTCTACAACCTAACGCTCAACAAAAGCAAGTGAAAATCAGAGAAAAGTGTCAAGAACCATGTCAAGCACATTCAAGTAGTACGGTTTCCACTTTGGTATTTCCATGGTACCAAAATGTGTACCATACAGCTTGTTGGAAACCTCCCATCAAGGTGTCGACCGCAGTGGTCAGATCCGAAATGTGAGGTTAGGTTGGTATGTTAGACTGAGGTCCACCGTTACAATGTCTCGCTGTAAATGGCCAACGCAGCTATTGCTATCTGGCCAACATAACCCAGAGAGGAAATGTAGAATCTGTGCAAACCAGATAAAATCTGGACCATTCCACCTGATGAAAACGCAGGCTTTATACTCCCCATTTAATAGTACAACAATCAAATAGCAGCTCCATTTAGCATTTTACATTCCTGCAATTTCCTTTCAAGAAGACGAATTGTACTCAAGAGTGATTCTATTGCCACAACAAAAAAAGTAGAGATGACGCAGATTCATCGATGACTAAAATAACTGATTACTTGCAGCTCCACAACAATCATGACAAACAATCACAGAACACTGCAGTAAATACAGCTAAACGTTACCCCCGGTTGGCATCCAATCCCTTGTCAATCGAGTCGAGTTTCTGACACCTTGCCTGCTTTTTTTTTTTGTTGCCACACAAATGCCTTCACAGAACCTGCTGTTCCAGTCTCCACTTGGCCTCTCTCTTGACTGTCTTCATCCCTTTCCTTTTGCCTAAAATTCCTTTCTTTCCGCAGCCAGCCTCGGTTTCACTCGGCCCATCGACCTAACCCAAAGCCAGACCAGCTGGCTTTGAAAGCTCGCCCGCAAGCCCGAAGAGGCCCGACATCAAACCCCATTCCTCCTTTTGTATCCGTCTGCACAGAGCTAGGAGGGTGGGGGCCTTGGCCTGAACCCCGTCGTGGACACGGATTTGTCGGGCATGCGTCCATCAGTGGACTTGTCACAAGTGTCAATCATGTTGCAAGCAGGTGTTGTCCTCATTGAGGTGTACAGTGAGAGCACAAAACAAGTTTTCAGGGACTCAAAAATAGATGCAGTTGAACCTCCGAAGGCAATTGCTTTGAATAAAAAGAGATATGTTGTGGAAAATTGACTTTTTAAATTGCTTGCATACAAATATACAGTATGGATTTCTAGAGTCCCTGCTCACCTGTTCGGTGTGAAATTACACTAAGCCTTTTTCAGAAAATGTGTCTTTAAGAAACCCCTTCTAAATGTTTCCAGCTTGTGATGTAAAAGTGGGGCTAATTACATAATACCACCTCCACACAGAGTTCCTCTCCCCATGACTGAGGAGCTTGGCTGGGCAAAGGTCTGCCCAGTGACGGTACGACTACATGGAAACACAATCGTTTACAACCTAAAAAATTAGTGTACATAATACTAATTTTAGAGTACATTATCAAGTTAAAGCCAAAGGCCGAGCAGAGCTACGAATTAGCTTTAACAGCGTCGCTTCTGATTACCGACACACACTCGTATGGTCAACAAAGTTGTCAAGGTGGGAGCAGCATGTATTTGAGTCTGCATGGACCGCATGCAAAAAGCCATACACTATTTTACAAAAAGTGCCATTGGATGGCACAGTGATGAAGTGCTGTCACCGTGAGTGAAAATAGAATTTGACTTGCTTTTACTGTTTGACCGGTGCTCGCTTTTATCGTGACACTCTTGGGCCTCGATGGCACACAGCAGTGTGGGTGCCGCAAGAACTTAACCATTAGAACAACGGAATAATAGATTTGAGTTCAACGAATTAGGTCCAGATTTCACAATAAATCGGTCAATATCAGTCCATTGAGACTACATCATCACTCTTTTATTATTTATACATTTTCTGTTACATTTTCATTTATTATATAAGACGAGTAGCTTGGCTCGGTGAAAGCTAGGGAGCACTGCTCTAGGCTAGTGGTCAGCACAATCTCATCAGAACCCTCTAAATCTGGTCACCGCTGGTAATGGCAACGATTCGAAAATCCTTACTAAAAAAAAAAGAAAAAAAAAAAGAGCTTCTATCTACAGATCAGTTACAACAGTATGAATGTACGTACAAGACAAAAACAATTTCTGAGTGAGTGGTTCTAAATTGTGACGCGGAAAGGGGGTTGATTTACATAATGAGCACGCTACCCAAGTGTTATTGACTAGCTTAGTGATGAAATGCTACCGCCACAAGTAAAAATGCTTCAAGAAAATGTTACAGAATCCCAAATTATTTTTATCTGGAAGTTGACAACTGTAACCAAAGGAACCACTACTCATTCTTGACATAAATTACATCGACAGAGTAGTTACCACCGTATGAAAACTACGAAATTAATTGCAAGCATTCCAACAAGTGGCATGGAGTTTGCCAAATAACTGTTTGTTCCAGCACAGCCTTGACAGGACAGCTGGCATTTCCAACACTGCGCCACACCACAAATAGACCCAGACACTCTTTCTCCCCCAATTATAAAAGAGCCCTCATGCAGAGAGCTTGATTAGGTTGTGAAAGTCTGGTTTGATCCGCAACAACACTCCAACGAAATACATAGTTTATTTTGTAAATGAGAAAAATAAATCAATGAGTCACACTACTTTTTTTTTCCTGAAAAGCCATTTTTTGAAATAACACTTAATTATCTGTGCCATTCTGAGGAG